AGAATATATAAGATTTATTTAGAAAAATGAATGTTTGTTTATATACTTTTTTATTTTAAAACGAGTTTTTTAATTATAAGTTAAAGTGTTAGTACTTAGTATATAGGAATAAATGACCTTTATGAATTATAAGCTGTTACGAATAACACCAAAATAAAATAACAATAAATTAATTTTATTTAATTAACTTAATAAATTAAAAACAATGACAACTAAAAAAAAAAAATAATGTAATAATTAAAATATTATTTTCAAAACATTAATAATTAGCTTGGCGGGCCAGTGAAAAAACCTTGGCCGACCGGATTCGGGCCGTAGGTTGGGGACCCAATTTTTTTTATAATTTCTTTGTATATAATGAGTTCAAAATTGTAAATACAAATTAAAATTATATGTATAACTGTAGATAGATTAACTATAGTAGATATACTATGATTATAATATATTATAAACGATATTTATCTATAATAGATAAGTTTCAGTGTGTTTAAAAATTGAGACCACGAAATATTTTGAAAGTAAGACATTGCATTTGATTCTGTTTTTTGTTCACTGCATAAAGGACTTTAGAGGAAGTCATACCCACATGGGTTATTTCCGTCTTACACACTTATGACTAGGGCCAACACTTGTATGCATTTGCATATTTTTATTGGTTGGTCAAAAAAATAGCTAGTTACTACCAAAATTTGTTTTATAACCTAACGATGCTGTATACAAAATTTTATTTCGCATATTTTTGCATATTATGGTATTTTTGCATTTTTAGGGCATATTTTAGCATTTAGTATATTTTTGGAGCATATTTTTGGATTTAAGATCTTAAAAACTCGGGAATTACAAAATAGAAAAAATAGAAACTGCGCGAAGTAAAATATGTGAAGTTAGTGGTACAAATGGCACTGATATTAATAAAAAATGTGAAGATGTTTTTAAAAAAAATAATGGTTTTCATATTCTTACGAAAATTTCTAAAGTATTATCCGGTGAAGTATCCACATTAGAAGGTATTCCAGAAAATTTGACCAGCAACGATTTGTTACATTATAAATACGCACCTATTACATCCGTTGATGTAGAACGTTCCTTTTCACGCTACAAAAATTTGTTAACGGACAATCGACGCTCAATGCTGTTTGAAAACTTATACAAATCATTAATTGTTCAATGTAATAACATCGGGTAAAAATTAAAATGTTTATCATCTGATTAATGTTTTTGTTTTTTAATTTTAATTTTTTAATTTTAAATATTTTTTAATATCACACATTTTTGTAAATCATTATTCATTGGCAATAAATAATAATATTGTATTATTATAGTATAAATTGTATAATACATAAAAAAAAAAATCATTTAATCATTTTTTTACAATAACATTTTTTTTAGAGCATATTTTAAGGGCATATTTTGGTAATTTTTAGGGCATAACTGCATACATATTTTATAGATTTTTAGGGCATATAATTGTTGGCCTTACTTATGACATAGACAAAATGCATTTACGCAGTCTGAGAACAACTCACTCAATTTTGGTTTTAGAGTAAAATTACCTATTTTAAAATTGAATTGTCACAATATTTCTGAGGGCAAGTCGTTGCGTTTTTTCCATTATACCCAATATAAGGTTCAGTATATCGTTTGGAAATAGAAAAAGTTTCTACATTTTTAAAATACCTTTAACTTTTCAAAATTTAAATAAAAAAAAAAACGCAACGACTCAAAAATATTGTCACAATTCAATTTTATAATAGGTATTTTTACTCCAGAACCAGTATTGAGTGAGTTCAGACTGCGTAAACGCGTTTTGTCTATGTTGTATATGTGTAAGATAGAGACAACACTTGTGGGTGTGAGTGTGTCCTCTTAAGAGAACGTGATACCCGCAGGTGTTGTCTCCGTCTTACAAGTGTGTGCCATGGCAAATTTTACTCTCAGCAGAACACGTTTATCTCCGTTAATTTAAAAAATAGAGTAAATTGATCTCTTATAAAATTTAAAGGTAAGATTATTATCTAGTCAACTTCAGTATTTTAAAATTATAAATTGTTTGTAGATTTTAAAATACTCATACCTCGCTTAAAAATTAAAATATAATAAAAAAACCCACGAGGTTGACTAGATAATAATCTTACTTTTTTTCTCTCTCTCTTGGCTTTACAATTCCTTAAGAATTTTGGCAGCCACCGTCACCGTTCTCAAATAATCAAGATCCTGAACTTTATCTTCCCAATTTGTCACTTAAAGTATTTCTAAGTCCTTCCTTATACTATCTATCCATCGCTTTCTAGGCCTTCCCCTTGGTCTTTTCCCCGTAGGTTGCCATTCGATTACTGCTCTTGTACAAGTAGCTTCTGTTTTCCACATATTATGACCAAACCATTTGAGTCTTTGACACTTAATGTGGCTTGTTAGCAATGGAACTTCAGTGATTTCTCTTAGTTCAGTATTTTTTCTTCTACGCCATCTGTTTAGCTCACTATCAAACACTGGACCACAAATCTTAATCAGTATTTTATTTTGAAAAACTCACAGCTTTTTGTCTAGTTGCATAGTAGTGGGCCATATTTCACATCCATAAAATACTATTGGTCTTATTATGGTCATGTACAGTCTGATCTTGGTTCTTCTGGAAAATATTTTGGATTTAAAGAAATTTATATAACGCGAAATAAGCCCTATCTCCCTTGCGTATACGATTTATGATTTTGAGACTCCAATCATTGCTGTCCGATCAATTCTTTAGATTTTATAAAAGGTAAATTTACTCTAATTATTAAACTAACGGAGCTACACGTATTACGCATTTGTAAGACGGAGACAAAACTTAAGAGAGACATAACTTCCTCTTAATATTAAACTTATTTTGATCGATTCAATTTTTTTTAAATTTTTTTTTTAGAATTCCGATAAAGTGTTGTCAATTTCCTATTCTTCATTCAGTTATCATAGTAATATGTTTGTCTAAAGGCTTCTCAATAATAAAACAATTAATATTTAGTAGGTACTGAACGTTGTGTTATGAGTCCGAAATACCAACCATCGTATAAATTATTAATTTTATATGTATACGTTATATTTTTAATTATGTCAAATACATAACTAATAAACCAATAAAGATAAAAATTATATGATGTATGCAAATAACAATCGTCACGAAACGGTGAATATAAACCACATGTGTTGTTTAAAGGTATACTTCATAATTATTAGTATTTTATCGTTCAAATGTTTCACAGCCAACGTTTGACTGTTGACTGTTTTTATTTTGTATTATTATTAAACAGCATATTTCGATAACAATGATCCATTTTACAGTTGTTGCAAAAAAATGCAAAACTGATGTGTTAGGTAGATCTTAAATTGTATTAAAATTATAATTAATTCCATACCCTAACTATTTAGCTGGTAATTAACAATTACGATTTGCCTTTTTCACAGTATAACAGTTTGTACATGTATTGATGTGAAATACGAAGAACCATAATTGTCACATTATTTTATCGAGAAATATAACAGAAATGTATTATAGTAGATAAGTAATATTACTATTATATTGTACCTATAGTAGCTATTAGATTATTTTAATTTAAAACCTTATAAGTAGGTTTTCAGGAATTAATGTATAAAACCAATTTAAAATAACATTTTTATTTTAATTTCAGTGATTATTTTTAAGTCGACTAAAAAAAAAACCATTTTATATAGTCCATTTAATAAATATATTAAAAAATATATTATAAACTAGTTATGTTCTTAATTGATAAACAAATTTGACTTTTATACTACCTAGTTAGTAGTTAGTACCTATCACTTTTTCAGAATGTTAAGACGTATGTATATTAACCAGGTCTTGCATTTAAAAAAAAATTCCGTTTTATGTTATTTACAATTAAAACGTTATTCAAGTTTATACTTTTATCATTATTTAGAAATAAAACGTTATAGAAGTTTTGCGTTTATCGTTATTTAAAATAGTGTTAATACCTAATTAATTTAAAAATAATAGCTAAAACGGGTAGATAATGGCCCAGTATGGAATATAATATAATAAATTAATTTCGTTATTTACACACAGGCAATAGTGTGTAATTAATATTTTAATAAATTTTTTTTCTGATTGCGTCAAGATTTTTTTGATTTTATCGTCATAATGATTTAACGTTTGATATTGACAGCGTGATAATTGTAAGATAAACCAAAATTATCACATTATCAATTACCTATTATACACGGGGATTGCATTTGAAAAAAAAATCCGTTTTATGTTGCTTACAATTCAAACATTACACAATTTTTGAGTTGATCGTTATTTAGAATTAAAACGTTCTCCAAGTTTTGCATTTATCATTATTTAGATCTAAAACGTTATACACGTTTTGCGTATATCGTTATTCAAAATAGTGTTAATACCTATTAAATTTAAAAATAATAACTAATGCGGGTAAATAGATTTTAAAATATTTTGTTTTGCGTTATTTTTCGTTCAATGATATTCTATAAATTATGTTTTGTGTTATTTTTCGTTTAATGATATTCTATGAATTCTATTTTGCGTTATTTTTCGTTTAATGATATTCTATAAATTATGTTTTGCGGTATGTTTTGTTTAATGATATACAATATAATATTTTGTTAATCGTTATGCTTTGTTTTGCGATATTTAATTATTTTTGATTAGGTATCCCTTTCCATTTTAATTAAGTTTACAAATTTAAATCGTTTTTGTCAAATATAACGTTATAATCATAACGTTATTATAACGTTTGCAAGCGTTAGTAACTTGTAAGTGTGATATTAACAAAATCATATTATTAATTTATAATATTATTCAACGTAGCACGCAATATTATAACGGACCGTACACGTAATGATGGTTAATAATTCTAAGCCAATGAACCGGATGCGACTTTTCGGATTGAAATCGATTTGAAACCCTTTTTTGTACCTTATAGTTCTGCATTGTCGACCCCAGCAAAACGTTTTGGGACGACCCGAAGATGTACCTGGACGATCCCGGTTTGGACACTTTGCTGTCGCTGACCGCCGACGAGCTGTTACCGTGCAATGACCAAGACGACGAGACCTCATACGATGACGAGGACAGCAAAGGAAATCCGCCAGACACTCAAAGGCAGCCGGACAGACCGAGTGACGTTAAACAGGTGTTGGAGTGCACTTATCCGAATTGTGACAAGACCTACTTGAAACCGTCCCACCTCAAGGTAAATGATTATTGTCAACTATTTGTAGTGCGCGACTGATGTTACGCTAAGGTTGGATGACGGAAGTAGATACGTGATTTTTTTGTTTGTGACCGTTTTGGGAACAAATCGATTGAAAGTCTATTACATAGTTAAAATTTGGATTTTTCTTCAAAAACTTTTACAAGTCGACTGTCCGACTAATTTCACTGATCTTAACACCGGCTAGAGCATCATAGCATTATATGCACTCAATAGTTATATGAATCAGGGCTGTGTATCATATTTCATACAGAGATTTTACTAGAGGTTTCTTCTTGCTCGGTCAATTAACTAGATATAAATAAATAATTTCAAAAATAATTGAGTAAGGCATATCATATTCATATATTATACTATTATGACGCACAAGACACAACTGTCAAGTTTAAGTAAAATATTAAGAGTAACAATTGAAAGTTTGCAGACGTGTACCTGTGTACGTATCACATATTATATGATACCACAAGACAGACAACTTCTTTTAAGTGGGCGGGGAAGACATCTGTAAATTGTTTGCTTTTAACGAATTATTATCACTAGACAAAAGTGACAAATTTAGTTCTGCAATCCAACGACAGATTTCGATGTCTGACATTGGCACGCCTATAATAGAGGATAAGACTTGGGGATGCTAAATTGATTAACATAAGTCTGTATAGTCTCTATCAAACCATAAAATAACCACTTTATTTTATTGTTCAGACATTTAATAAATTATTATAAAAATACAAATCAATACAATATAATTATCACATTTTTTAAAAATAATTTAAATGCATACAGAACTTTTATATTATATTATGTACATAAATGTGCAACGAAAAATTTAGATAAGAACTAGAATATATTATAACACCATGAATCAATGATTTAAAAATGTAGTATTAAATTTGAAAACAAATAATGCGAATAAAATAGAATGTGAAAATTAGATAAAAGTACTATAAATTAATTAAAAATAAACAATAATTTTCTTCATTTTGTAGGAAACGTTTTTTTTTTTTTTTAAATTAATATTATTCTGTTACGAAAATATCATTCAATATTTTGTGTAAGCCATATTTGTTACAAACCTTTCGGGTTTCAAACTTGGACCACAAGAAGCACTCCAAAACTGAGGTCTTGGTGTGGTTACGTTATACAACGTATTTATATGGAGCGTAATGCGTATAGTAAGTCAAACAAATCAGTAGACATGTAAATACTCAGCACAGAGTTAAAAGTCAAACAGTTGTTATACCGCCTATACTACATGACTGTTACACTGAAAATTTTGATATTATTTATTTAAGTTTCTACTGGAGTTCCAATTGTGATATGTAAGTTGCCCAGTGACCATATTATAAGTAAAATATAACTGACACAGTGATACTTAGCTTGAGAACACTATAGAAACCGAAAAAAAAAAAATTCAAAAGATAATTAATTATTTTAGATTTTTTCGGAATCTCTTAGGCGCATAACCAAAGTATTATATAATCACGATGATAGCAATTTATATAACTATAACAAATGTTACATTTATATTTACATAATAGTTTATTCAATAACATAAATGTATAACTACTATATACTATAATAGTTTGAATAGCAGAGAATCGAATTGGTTTCTATTATCAATTAATATTAAAATGGTTATGATAGTTCTAATGTAACGTTACCATCATACTATATTTTTATAAATAAACTAAGATATTTATCTATTTTAAATATTATAATATATACCTAAAGTTAATACTTACCTATATAATATTATGCTGATAATCATAGAAAAATATTTTTTTTTATACAACTCAGTTGCGTTTATTAAAAAACTAATTGATTTGAATTGATTTTAAAGCTAGTTTTCCAAATTATGAGTAGATACTTGGAATATAAATTACAATTATACAGATAATTAATATCAACTCAAATTCGGTCAGCCGGTTGAGTTATTAAAACGTTCAGTTGTTCAAATGTAAATAGTAATTATTAAATAATGATTATTGAATAAACTTTGAATAAGCAAAAACAAATTATTGTTGAATCACAGTATTATATTATTTTAATTAAAAATAACTTTACACCACTATACATTAATAAAATATATAGTATTACATTCAAATTAAAAACAACATTTTTCTTCTAAATAATAAGTTTAGACAGTTAAGTTAATAAAAGTACGAATTGTTAAAACAATTAAATCTGTAACTTGAAATATTATTACTCAGTCTTGCCTATTTGTACTTGCATGGTAGGCCAGAGCTAAAATTTAAGTCACACCAGGCGGCTTATAGCACTTTATTAAGCCCGTCGTCAGCAACTGTTACAATTCGTATATCCTTGTACTGTGTAAGTACTAAGTACGAATATAATATTTTAATTATCACAATAAAATTAAGCTCGCTTTATAACTCACATATACAGTAAAACATCTTTATAACGGACCTGCCATAAGACTCCTCAAAACGGAAAATAACATTAGTTAGGCATATATATAATATACAGAATATTTTATGGCTATATCCGGTATATTTTAGTCTCCCTATAACGGAAACATCTATACTCTATAGGTATTACTGAAAAATCAGTTGGTACCGAGGGATTCCGTTGTAAGGAGGTTTTACTGTATTAATATTAATTTTATTTTTCTAAAAAAATATTGTGTTTATTCAATCGTATTATCAATAACTCTTACCGTTCAAATAGTTTAATAAATTAATTAGTAGTTTTAATTAAAATATATTTTAATTATTATGATCGCTGTTATGCAGTATGTCTTACCCAGCATCCGATATTTATGTTCAATTTGAAATCGAATTCAGAAATTCAACGAAGCACACTACATTTTTTAATTATAAGTACCTACCTAGATTGTGGTCCAAAATTCACGGAAATTCAATTATTCACACTTAATTCATACAAATTATAGGTATCAGGTTTATGGGGGAAATACAATTTTATATTTTTATTATAAACAAGTTGAACCAATTTGGTTATCTTGATCATAATTTGTTCAAATTTTAAGCTAATAATTAATACAATTATATCCAGTAAAATATTATCAAAGACCATACCAGCTACCACCTCTTAATTCAAGTCCGGCTCTTAAAGTGATGTATCACGGCGTGCTGTATAGGCAATATAGGTACGTCACTGCATCGAGGAACCACATTCTAAAATATTTAACCCATTCACCTAATCAATATATTATTTTTGCTATTAATTTATTATATTTTACTTTAGGCCATTTAAACTATTCACAAATTTGCATGATATAATTACAATAATGCGCATGCTACTTTATTTTTTGTATTGTAAGGTACAAGGCTGGCCAAGGTAACGATATTGTTTAAGTTAGTAGTTAAGTTAAGGCGACCGAAAACGTTTAAATAAGTTTTAAGTAAATAGTTACCTCATTTTCTTTACTTAGTCAAGTTAAAAGTTATATAGAAACTACCAATTAACCAATTAACTTAAGTTAATTTTACTTTTTAATATTTATCAATAGCCAATGTAGGTAGATTAAATTAAAAAATATCATTGGAAACACTTAATTGCAGTAATATTATAATAACTTACTTGTGGTAAGTTATGTGATTTCATATCATTATATGATGACAATTTACATATATGTCTTAAGACTCAGAAATCTCAAAATATAAAAAAGGGCTGGTGTTTTCGGTTCCACCCCCCGACATACACTTGTAAAAACAGGTTGTTCCAAAATTCTGGTGACAATAATGATTTAATTAGTATTACATTACAACAATTGCATTTTCTCGTCCACAGGTGCACATGAGGAGGCATTCGGGCGAGAAGCCATACGGGTGCATGTGGCCGGGCTGCACTTGGCGTTTCTCCCGATCCGACGAGCTGTCCCGGCACTGTCGGTCGCACTCAGGCGTCAAGCCGTACGGGTGTGACGTGTGCGACAAGCGGTTTTCGCGGTCCGACCACCTGGCCAAGCACGCGCGGGTCCACCACAAGCGGATGGCCGCCGCGGCTGCCCGGCTGCAGTGGCCGCCTCAACAGTGCCAGAAGCACGCCGCCGTACAACCGACCGCAGCCACCACGGTTAATACCTCCGTAACCACCTCACCGGTCACCAGACGTCAGTGATGACGCGACGGCCGTCCGATGTGGTTGTGCCGACGACGTGCCTGCGAATTAAACACTGCATCGATCCACCCAACACCACTGATGGACATTCTAATATTATACACAGGCTGATTTACCATACGTGTTCTCGTCTATTTTCACTATTAGTAACGAATTTATTAAAATTCAGATTTTTGGAATTTGTACCTGAGTAGGTACAATTTTATGACCGACTGGAAGCGTCTTGTGGCGATTCAAACTTCTAGAATCAAAACTTTTATTATTGTACATTTTTAAGTACACCTATAGTAGGTTTACGATTTTGTAAAAATTAGAACCGCGTTTGTATCGCCACAAGACACTTCTTAGATGGTATAAAAATGCTTGTGAATCACTCTGTGTATATCCTTTTTCTGCATCGCCATACTACCACAATAATGTCACAATAAATTATTGCAATGTATATATTATATATTAATAATGATGATCTGTGCAAACGCGAATTATATAACAAATACACAATATAACTCACTGGTATCTACTTGTGTATTACATTTTTTAAGTGGCAAGTATGTGCTTACAATATTGTCTTATTTTAGAATACGTTTGTTCATCTCAATATTCGAGCGATTTCGGGGCTGTGGAAAGTCCGGATCGTACTTTTGAAAAATTTACTTTGAACTGTTTCAAATGCGAAACGAATCCTGCTGTAGGGCTTTCACATAAGTCTAGTATTGGTAGATATTTACCATCTGGTTTAGGACTACAGTAGAGCACTCGAGATAATGTGTGGAACTCATTATTTTCACTATTTATTGCAAACAAAAAAAACTATGAAACACATTATTATTTGGTATGTCACCTATTGAAATACAAGTTCGAAATACACTGCAGGAAGGACAGTAAGACCAATCGATAAGAAACATTTAATGCCGCAGCGATTTTTATTTCAATATGGTGTTACAGTTTTGAATGACGGAAATGTCGTTTGGAATCTCGTCCCTCCCACCTTTGGCACGTTTCTGTTAAGAAACATGTTGGAGATTCAAATATGTCCATTATGTTATTATTATTAATGTTTTCCAAGCTAAGTACCTTTAAATATGTAAAACGATATAATGGCAGGCGCCTATATTTTATAATAATATAGTATAATCGTTATTGATGAACACAGGACAAAAATAAAAAACAAGGTCCATTTCGTAATAACTTTAGTTTTTATTAATTTTTTTGTTGTTTTTATTTTATTTTCACAATCACTCAAATAGTAGTCTTAGTCTATGAAAAAAAAACTTAATAATTATAATATAACCTATCCTTAAAATGCAACAACGCCAAAATTTATCAAACCCAATACAAACAAAACGAAAAAAAAAAATGAACAAACGAGACCTACGTTTAAATGAGACATAATATTAAATAGAATTGTTCAATAATATACAAAAAAAAAATTAAAAGTATAATAAATAAATAAATTAGATAAAAGAAAAAAATCATATAGTACGTATAATATTAAATAATATCAATAATAATTTATAATAATCAATTTTTCAACTCGGCGAAATCAGAAAGGAGAAAACAAATCATACAGGGAGAAATCATTAAACTATACACATAAATATTACGGCAAGACTTAATAACTAAGGCCTTCTACATAACAATGATCAGTCACAATTAATAATACAAGACACCGGGTGATATAAATGAGTTAAGCCGAGAGTACCAGATGTTATGGGTGACTCTTGTTTTTTTCACATTAATTTTTTATATGTTTTTATCATAATTATTATTATCTTTTAACGCAACATTACCCACCGATTTTAGGGAGGGGGGACCAGCAGTCTCAATCACAACGTACAAACATCTTGTTCGCACATACTTAATAAATATTATATTATTATGTACTATATTACTTATTATTTCTCCTTTCGACGTTATATTAATATTAATTTTTTCTTTTAAACTTTTTTTCAATACAGGTTTTTTTTTGTTTATTAAAATTATTATCGTTATCACTAAACTTAAATTTAAATTAAGACGTACGTTTAAAAGCAAAAAAAAAAAACCTTAACATACTAAAGCTAAATTGTTTTTTTTTTTTTTTCGGAAACAAAAATAATGACAAGCCATATTTAAGACAGCTTTGAGAAAACGACATTCGAACAATCGTTCTTTTTTATTAATTTTTATTTATTTATTAATATTATCATAATATTTAGGCTAATCGTGTGTAGCGTACGCGCAGTACGCTGCAGAAAAAAAAATGAATTTAATATTAGACTTTTAATTAATGTAAACATAATATCATTATCATAATCATAATAATAACACTTAAGACTTACACACTAAAAATAAGTCGTTACATATTATAACGTTCGAATTGTAATCATATTATTAAACGTAGGTTATACGTGCTATATTATATTTTATTATTTTTTGTTGAAATGTTGTACGCACATATACACATACGTACATTATAATTTATATTATGGGCCGAGGCGGTATTATCGACGTTACGTCTCGGTACACATATTATGATAACAACAATTATTATAATATGTATTCGGCCAAGATATTAAAAAAAAAAATATATATATATATTTATTAATAAACAGAAAAGGACCTACACATTACGCAGAATATTAATTTGATGTGAGGTCACTGTTTAGAAACGCCGAACAACGCAACAGGTATCATACAATAATATATTATTATAATATACGTACGTAGCATATATCGTACGTGAATCGGAAATGTTTATATACTTGGCACTAGCGTAGGCCAAGATTGTGTGATACATTTATTTTGTTAATTGTATTATTACGATAATAATTACGAATTTATTATTATTTAATCTTCAATTTAAGATGTCATCCCGATCTACTGAGGTCGTACCTCTACGTTATAACGTGTGAGCGGAAAACTAGTAGGCACGTAATAAACCGATCGTGAGAAGGTCCGGAACTCGCGGAAAAATATTTACTTTTTTAACGATATTTTCATTTTTGTCTTTAGCACAAATAATCATGCGCAAATAGCGTCCTGGGAAGACACCGATGTGCTAAATATCACATTTAAAACTTCATACGTTTTATTCAGACAAAGGCGCTTAGGCGAAACCAAGTCTTATTATTACATTTTTATTATTTTTTTTTTTTTATGGGACAGAATACAAAAATACCCCTGTAAAATTTGAACAGTCGTATGTATGTACAATTTCATTTCATAGTTAACCCAGAAATACTCTAAGAAAATCGCTTTTCGCACGAAGTAAAGACAATTTTCTAAAAATCGTAAGTAAACAAAAACAAATAATAATAATAAAAAATAATAATAAGCTATACTTGGGTGGTATACAGTAAAATTAGGATTGCATTACTATGATTATTAAAAGAGGCGTTACTATTACAATGGCATCGTCCAAATTTGTTTGAAATTTTCTTTCGTAACTGTATTTACACATAATTCAATTGCATCATATAAATTGTATGTATTTATCGAAAATAATAATAATAAAATAAAACAAAACAAAAAATAAAAACTATAATTTATATAACTCACGATAGATAGAGAGAGAAAAGAACAAAACAAAAAAAAAAGCTTTATAAACCTAACGGCTAACATATTATTTTTATCTTTATATTTTTTTAGTACCGCCATTAAACGAGCACCGAGGAACGGTCTCTGCGGTTTTACTATAATATCTTTGGGATTAATGGAGCAGACGTAAATCATTATTTAAACAATAATCACAATCGTTGGACAATTATTGATTTAAAAAAAAAAAATTCTTCTTATATTATATACACCACATATTATGTATTATTAATTATTTTATACAAAATGTTATAAATTAAAAAAAAAATATCGAGCTGACTAACGCGTCGTGGGGAGGGGTAAGAAAGTCGTGGACAAATAAAAACGTAATTTTATAACATGTGTATGCGAACCGTGGTGGTGGTGGTCGTGGTTAGGTCGTATGGACAATTTTAAAAAGCTGACATGGGATGAAAAAGTCACTAGCCGGTGAAGGGAGAGTTAAACGAAATATCAGTGATAAGCGTTCCCGATTTTGGGTTAAATGAAATAAAAAATAATAATCGAGGCCCAAAATGTATGGTCGATATTCGTGTACAAGCACCGATCGACTTGAGGGAGGTAACCGCATTTGAGAAAATTTACATATTAACACTGTTGTTATCGTCGATCAGTGATCGAAACGACGTTTTCTGGTCTAGTGAAATATTTTAAATAATTACAAATTACATATTTTTATCATTCCGGCCAGTCCACACACACACGAAACATTCGCACACATATTATTATTACAACTATAATATTATCTAATGTTGTCAAAATCATAAAAATTTAGATGAATAACGAAAAAATCACATTATAAAATTTATATACTTTTTTATATCTACTATATTATAATGTTATAACTCAAATAAAATGGGACGAATCAATCGTCAGTTATAGAAGAAATTTCAAAAATAAAAACAAACAAATAAAATATGAAAATAATAAAAACAAAAATAATCTTATCTTTTTTCTTTCAAAAATATGTACCTACCTAAGTCAAGGTAAAAAAATAAACATTCTTTAAATTTCTTTTTTAGATTTAAAATAAAAATTTGAAACGTATCGTTTTAAAGAACATTTTTTTTTTTTCAAACGGTACACATTATAGTGACTATTAACCGCTGACATGTACTAACACATGTATCACAGAATTTCAAGGAGACAAATTTACCAAAAAAAAAATTCAGTCACACGGATACAAAATGGATGGTTATACTACGGGGGGAGGGGTGGGGATTGGTCGACTAGGCGACAATAAATTACATTTAAACTTATATTAGGCTACATAGCTATTAAACAAAAATATTATTGTTAAATTTATCAATAACTTAATGAATATACTTAACCCTAAATATTTTATTAATTTATTATTATTTTTATGTTTATTATTCACGTGATAATTTCGTCTGTGAATTTTACTCGCAACACGGTACTTGACTTCCCGGATGCGTCAACGGCAACGCGAATTAGGTATTTCGAATTTCATATTATCTACCGTATTAAAATTTCATACACTCGGAGGCTTAGTTTTTTTTTTTATTTAATCTTTATGTTCGGTTGCCAACGGGTGTAACATTTATACACTTAAAGGGACCCTTAAAATAAACATAAATTTCAAATTTCAAGAAATAAACGGTATCTCAAACGACGAACAAAATTTTAACTCAAAACACTTTTAACTTTATACACAATTTTTTTAAAAATCGAAAAATTAATTTCAACGTAACAAAAAAATAAATAATAATTTCAATGGACATGTTTTAAACAAAAAATAATTTAAAATTTACAAAAACAAATATTCTGAGGACCAAAATTATGGACATTATTGAATGTTGTTTTTTTTTTTAAACTCATTGCTGTACATGAAGTCGGCATTATGCCGAATGTCAAATTTAACAAGTTTATTAATAAGTACATATTTTTCGGACCGTATGAATCTGCTATTAACTTTTTCGATACTCGTTTTTAATATGATAATGACACGTATTCTCGTTTCATTATAAATATATAACGTTCAGTAAATGTTACTGTAATAACTCTAAAAATCAATTAGTAAAAACTGCACAATTTAGACATAAAACCGTTTTACGATTTTCCGTCTATACGGTGAAGCGATTAAAATGAATTTAATGTTTTTTCAGTAAAAATAACTGAACTTGATGAAATGAATCGCGAAAGGATAACACGCGTTGTTTATAACCATTACCATGTCAAAATAAACGACATGTTGTCAAGGGTCCGGAAAAAACAAATAGCATTGGGTGTTACAATCAATTTGGAATTTACAAAACAAGACTCGGAAGACTTGTTTGGAGGGAATGACAAATGAAACAAGTGCCTACTACAATAATGAATTATAAATAATTACTCTACGCAAAACCGCAATTGAGCTAAATTTGTATTGAACTAAAATTTATGTTTGTCTAAAATATACCGTTAACCTGTTAATCTGCGCTGATAACGGTGTTTTGAAAAGCATTTTTCCCAACGGAGTTCAACAGGTTGACTAATAGTTGCTAATATTCCTTTATACATTTTCTAGTTAATTATTTACCAAGCTTTTCTTATTTTTAGTACTAAACAAATTTAACTAAATTTTGAAATGGCCAAGATAACTAATTAAAAAAAAAAAAAAAAAAACTTTTAAACAAAAATTAAACAGCTTGGGGTGCGTTGGGAAAAAGACGGGCATTACCTACTATATTTCATCGGTTTTGGTTGGTTTTGCATGATATATTTTTTTTTGTTTATTTGTGCGAGTAATGTTGATAGGAGTCATCGGGTGACGCCGCTGTCGATGGATGTTCTTCAGATGGAATTGGAACCGTGTGAATTATGTTTGGTGCAGTGCTGGTGTAGTACGGATAACCTGGGTGTGGGCCGGCCACGTACTAAAACATGGATACTTGATTAAAAAAAAAAGAGGCGAAAATGAGCAGTTCTTATAATGAATATATTATACGAAAACGATATTTTATTACATTATCAAGAGATTCTTATTGCGATTAAACAACGATCACCGTCAATCGTTAGCAAAACACTCAATCAATAATGTATGTACACATTACTTTTTGAATTATTGCTTGCTGACGCTTTATAATAATCATGTAAACGTACACATTAGATAGTTGTTAAGTAAATTAGTTACGTACATAAACGGGTACGACTATAATAATCACCATTGACAGAAGGAATAAAAAAAAATAATATGTTACATGATCGTCCGTAATCGCTAAGAATCTACAAGAGTAATGAAATGCCATCAAAGCATAGTAGACTTACTGATCCATTTCCGATCTGTAAAGCAGACATATGTGTGGCGAGTTGCGGTATAACTGAACCGTATTGAACGGATCCAGGATCAGCTTGCTGAATCATCTGACAACATACAGGAGTCTTAAACAAAACATTTATATTTTAAATTAATACGTGTACCCCGTTTTAGTGTGAACAGTGTAGCGCTTAATATATAAATACAAAAGTTAGATATTAGATATTAGACAAACTTCTAAAGTGATTATTTAAAATGTATGTAGGGGATTTGGCACCAACCGAAATCGTAGCGATATGTCTGGTGAACGGTCGCGGTGGTGCCAGGCGAAAACTATTATTATATTACATTATGCCGGACACGATGTTTTCGAAGAAAATTAAATAAAATAAGACTATACCAATATCACATTTCAAAATGTATGTGCAGCTATATTAACTTAAAGGCAATTGTTTTATAACCTTATGACAGCGATATTGTGTGTCCTTAATAAAACGGAAATCGTTCAGACACCAGATAGGTGATAGGAAATGGATAGCTAAATAAAACAAATTTCGGCATATTATATCCAAACATAAGCAAAAAAACCGAGTGGAGTACGTATTATGAAGTTTATTCGTAATCATAGATTTGTCACAGTCGATTCCAATCGTTTTATTGCCTTGAGTATTTCGTAAATAGTGTAAAGATTAAAAGTTTTATTATTATTTTTTGTCAGTTAATTATTATGTATTATGAGATTTTAAAAAATTTGATCAATCGATTGTTTGAGTAATTCTTTCAGTAATGAAAAAACTTCTCGATCCTAAGATTAGGGTATAGCCACAAGACTCGGAGAGCGCCAGTTGTTGTCCAATGTATAGCATCAACTTTGTCTCTATATAAGAATTAAGAATAACGCGTGATAATCTGATATATTATAATTGGAGCCTAAAAATTGTTTCTGAACTTTTTTTTTTGTTTACAAGATCCTTGTGCTTCCAACCGCTGACACGAACTAAAGCCCTAAACTGAACAAAACATTAAGGAAAGTATCTAAAATGTAATTTCTATGTATGGTAAAGATATAGATATTTGTATCTGCAGTAATGTAATTGCTTCAAGTGTACTTGATATTACACACTCCTTTAAAAGGTAGTTGAATGTATACAATTTTATAGTATACTGGAGCTGTGAAAAACATTTAATGAAAATAATTTAAGTGATGCTTGTTTCCCCAACTTGTACAACTTTGTTTTGAAAATATAATCTACTATTGCAAGTATAAATATAGAACGTCTAGCATACAAAAAAACTTAACTGCGCACCTGTGGTGTTGATATCTGAAAATTATGGTTTGAAAATAATAATCACAACGATCGAGTGATACAAGAGTAAGTTTATAAAATTAAAATCAAGGAATAGAAGTCTCAATGTAGTTTTTAAGTAATGATTGATTTAATAACTATCCCTGATAAAATATTGATACAAATGAAATGGTTGCTATTCGTTTCGAGGGGTCTCGTTGAAAATGTTGGTTTTTGGGCCTCTACTAAATTGAGCCCAGAGCTTGTAATAATATTGCAGGCAGCGGAAACAAGACAATAATATACGGTTATTATAGGTAAGGTTTAGGTTAGGTTAGGTATATATGGCGCATACGTCTATCTGGGCCAGATGGTGTGGCGGCGCGGGCTGCATCACGTATTGCGGCAGCCACGTGGACGCCGGGATCGAGTATCCGTGGGCAGGCAACGCCTGCGTGGTGTAGTGCCGGCCGACGTACTGCGCAAGCGCGGTGGCCGGTATGACGTGCGAGCCAGCCGCCCCGGCCAGGCCGTTGTGGGCCGCTTCGTACCCGACGTGTGAGCCCTGCAACATATAGTGCTGTACCGGAAACCGCACACATCCGCCGTTCTGTTACACAACAACAATAACAACAACATTACAAAATTATTAGAGTTATATTAAGATTTAAGTATAATACATAGTAAATGCACAACAGCAATAATAATAATAATGACCATAAAAGTTTGGGACCGGATGTTAATGCACTTTTTAGGGCCCTGCGAATGTCACTAAAGATGTTTAAAAAAAAATACTCGTAATGAATCAAAATCACAACAACTACACGCGCAGTAAACAATGAACACTAAACTGTGATGTTAACATCAATGCAGTTAATATAATATTTTATATGATTGAAGTCTGACAATGATTTTATTCCATGCAAGATTGAAAGACATTTTTAACGTGAAAATATTGGTAGTTTAAGATGTTAAAAAAAAGTTACCAACATCCGGGCCTCAATGTTAAATAAATAATACAATTAGTGTTAAACGATTTATAGGTTGGACGACAGAAATCGTTAAACGTAATACTATAATATAATAATAATATATTTTTATGTGGGTAGTAGGTCAAAGCTCTGCCCTTGAGAGGACGTCATGTCGTGCGTACTTAACCGATTTTCAGGAGAGGGGTGTTTTTAAGAAAAATGAATGTTAACGCTATTGGTTAATACATGATCACTAAATTAAATTTATAACAACTATTCGACATAAACCAACAGCGCTCAACAAATAATTATAATGAAATTACGGAATTATTTTTATACAATCGTTTGACATCTGTGAAGCTGCAGTTTGTTATAATTTTATAAATCGACTCGGTCGTTATGTATTTAATTAAATAATAATAATAAAAAAACATTACACATTTACAAACGTCTATACATAAATTATTCAAGACCTATTTGTACTGTCAAAAGGATAATAACGCTGCTTGACAGATAATAATTATACAACAATTTAATTTGGCTACTCTATTATAAATATTATATGTGGAGTGGTGTTGGTTTACACAAACTGGGGTTTTTGGACTCGAATTACGTTTATTTGACGTCCTGGCAAAGGGTATAAATACTGTATTGAAAATGAGATTAACCCGTTCGTAAGGCACACAGTTTCGGATGTCATATTTACACGCACGGGGTAAATATTTACATCACTATAATTTTAACTTTATAGCAATGTTTTAGTATATTATTTTTGTTTCAGAAAGAGGGTGAGGCAGATTATTTTAATATGCAACACTACTAAACCTATGAAATATAAGGCACGCAGTAATGCCTTAAAAGTGACCATCATAATATGATCGGATAAATTGTATAAATTGTGATATTTTTGAAATTTGCGTCGGAATATGAAAACCATTATAAAAAAAAAAAAGAAAACGTTCACTTTTATTGTTTTCCCTGAAAGCCATTACTAGGTACTCATGTAATTTCCTTAGCCTCTTTTTTAAATAAATTGTAATTATTATGCGTATCATCGGGGTTTTTCAAAATCGGCGTTTTCTTATAGATTTTTAGAAAACGACCACGCTATACAAAAGTTATCATCTTGCCAGCTCATATTTATAAAGTCTTGAACAATTATTTTGTATCTAACGATTTGAAAGTTAGATATAAACAGTAACACATTAGTATAATAAATATATAAACTAAAATACGCCTTAAAAATGCAAAAAAATCCTAAATTATACCATAAAAATGCAAAAATCATAAAATATGAAAATTGTATAAGTTTACTGAAAAATTAGGTCACGAAATGCATTTTGATATAGACTAGCTATTTTGTATACAAAACACTAAAAATATGTAAAATGATATGAATTATGCCATAATTACATAACATATACTAATAAATTTAAATGTTTTACTTTATAAGTTCATTACCCGGTCTGAAATGGTTAAAACTTTGATGTAATTTCTATCGATCTTAAACGAAATCATTAGTTTTAATTTTTCAATTTAAATTTGTTTTATATGAATTTTTATTTCTGAAGTAATATTGAATATTACGACACTAAAGGTATAATATGTATTAATAGTACAGCTATTGATCATTTTTAGATTATCCCCTATTAAAAATGTCAAGTTATAAAACTAATCAATCATTTATTTAAAGTTAATTTAAATGTATATTATGAGCGACGATGCCCAATATAATATATATATATATATATATATACGAATCACAATTACTAGTGTGAACAACTTATAAGTATACTGCAGATATAGTACTTAAATATCGAATATTATATTAAGTGAATACAGAGAAGATATATTGAACTTCAAGGATAATAAATTGTAAGCTACTGTATCGGTCATCACCATAATCATGGCCATCAAATTAAATGTATACAATTGAAGCGATATCGTTTCGATTATACCACCCACATAACAATATTATCACGTATGGGATTTCGAGTTAAAATCTAATTAGATGGATACTGTGCGTGACAAGCGTGTAATATACAAAGTTCGAAACGTACCTCCGATTCTCTCCACAAACGAGAGTCTGATCTATAGCTAGGATTTCTCTTCTTTTGACCACTGTCAGCGAACTTGACAAGCAACGGTTCTTTAGATCCTGGCAAGGGATTGCCATTGAACATTTGAATGATTTGTTCACACTTTTCTTTAGAGTCCATTCTGAAAACAAATAAACGACAAAATATTAAAAACTACTTGGCGAGACAAATTCGAATTTGTATCCCAATAGTAAGTATTATAATATAATTTACCTAGCAAATCCGACTCCTTTGCTGACCATATTTGTGTCACGTAAAATCCTAGTCGATACTACCTGACCAAACTTCGATAATAGTGTATCCAAATCGTTCTCTTTGAAATTCGGTGGCAAGTTGGCTATGTACAAGTTGGTCGGATCTTGTTCTTGCTGCTAATAAAATTAAACCATACAATATTATTTGAAAATTTTTTTTTCTTGAACAACGTAAAAACAGCCAAACAGTAAAAAAGAAATTTAATATTCATTATTGTTATTGTGTATAATGTCCTCTTGAAACCAGTGATTACACGCATAGGCTTGTCTGTGCGTGTATGTGAGTAAATATGTTGTATCTTCTAACACAATAAAAAATAAATCCTCAATACATATTATACCATATGTATTATTATGTATTAGTGGAGGAACGCCAAAAGTGTCATAATATATTATTATGATTTAAGTAAAAGAGAAACAAACTAAAATATACAATATAAACACATCGCAATATAATAGTGTAAGAGATATTGAAAGCGTAACACTGCAGTACATAGGTACTTATTGAGGCTAAAAGATCAAAACGCAATTAAAAAAAACCCAAAATAACGCTCAAACGCAAGAAGACGGATAGAAGAAAATATAGCTTAACGATTGCAGATCGTCCGTCGACACGAATCGCGTCAGTGCAGTCGTATAACAAAATAATAATATTATATTATATGGCATGTCTTATGGGAAAACAAATCGACAAACGAGGAGCAAACATATTATTTTTGATGCGCATCGTCTTAGCGAGCGTACAACAGTTGTTCAGACGTTTTCGGACGTCGAGTAATTTTACATTATGCGGTATATGCCAATAAGTTTTATAATCCCATGGCCATTAGTCAAACACAATCGCAAAGACAATATTATCATTAAGCAGCGAGTACACAGAAAACGGAAGCGAACGCATTGACAATACAACAGAGGCGTAGGCGGGGAGGTGGCCCGAGAGAGAGAGAGAGAGAGAGATAGTGAGGGATAGAAAGAGGCAGAGAAAGAAAGATAGTGAGAGTGAGAAAGAGACAGAGAGAGATTGTAAACCGTGGTTTAAATGTCTACTCATACATCGCGGGCGTAGTATTAACGACGACGACGTCTATAAGTAGATTTAGCGTTTCAAAATTACTCGAGAGGTTTTGAAACTATTGATTTTTAAGCCGAGCTCGCTGTTTTCTTTATTCTCCTTGCCCCGCGCGTTGCCACCACACGGCGTTTTGTGATTCTAACAATGGGTTGCGGCTTAGAGTTTGATTTCTGAAAATATTGCGAATAATGTGTACATGACCCACGACGGCCGTCTTGGGAGATTGACGAGATTACGAGTCTCAAACATATATAGGTAGTTACCCGTTTCGAATGAAAATTCACCACTACTCTGCTGTACATAGTATAAGTATTCGTCTAATTCGTCCAGTCCACCAAATTAAATTAAACTATTGACCGTTTGGACTTGCAGCGTGTGTTTCTATAGCACGGATGTGTTCAACGCAATAGCTTTATCTACCCGATTAAGACCGCCACGAGATAAAAACTCAAATTCCAAGCGAATTTCGTAAGTACAATAAATCGATTTAACAAAGAATATAAATTCCCGAGGAGTAGAAAATAAAATGTATCAAATAATATAATCATTATTTAAAGATAATCAGAAAACGGACCCAAGACCTACGTTAGCATTTCACTGTTTATCTGAAGGTATATATAAATGGATTGCGACGGTGCGGCGTTCTGGGTTTTTTTTTTAATGGAGGCGGATAGAAAAATTGATTGAAAAGTTTTCTGCGAGGTCATGCCCACTGCCAGGAGGTTTGTGCACCACCACCCACAATAACAGAAGAATATAAGTTAAATCTCAATAAAATATATTATTTTTACCCTAGCCTCGTATTAAAAAAAAAAAAAAATAATGAATTCACGATTTTTGTTTGTTTTTTTTTAGTTTAGAATTAATAACGGTTTGAATGTCAAAGCCAAAGTAAATTAATGTAACAAGCTTTTCAAATGGTTGATACTCAGTAAAAAATACGAAAAGGACAATGGATCATATATTATTTGTCAATTATCACAAAATACATATTAATTAATATTTGCCACTTACAGTGTAGTGCACACAACATTGAAAAACCACTCCATTACCAAAATCACCAGCTATTCGAGATTATAAAAAAAGGTCAATGGTGGGATATATATCCCATATCCTCCCCCATATGATAACGCCCATGGGCTACGAGTGCAAACGTCAATACATTTTAACTACTTAAAATTACATTTGGACTACGTCAATACATTTTTAAGTTAATTAGATTATAGAAACAGACAAACCCTAATAAAATAATTGCCAACTCGTGTATTAAAGCAGTTTAAAGTGTTGGAAAATGTGACGAGTAACAAAGTTAAAAAAAAAAAAAACCGTTTCAGTTTCAACATAAATTACTATACCATCTGGTTAAATTCGTTTATAGACCGATACCGAGTAACCTTCAGAATGACAGTAATTATGATAAAATAAGTATTAGAAAAAACATTGTCGAACATAATAATTTGAATTTCACGACAACTGCCGTCATGTTATTAGGAAAATTATTATAAGTTTTACAAGGCAATACTGTTCAAGCCGGAATTTTACTTGAGTCACAAAAACAATTATGTACATTTAAAGAGGAAAAGTTCAGTTCAATTTTGTATAACGATTGCTCAATTTAGATCATTTTACCATGGTACATCATGTAAAATTATGCTTTACATTTACACATTTTTTTTTTGTAGTTTATTTTTTCACGTTATAAAGTGAAGCAAATTAAAATTAATAATTTGTCAACAAGATAGTTCTCTCGTCATTCCTATTATTTCTTAAGCTCAATATAATAGGTACCTAGTTGAATAATTTAAAATAAACGTTCAGTAATAATGGGTTTTTAATGTGTATCCATTATAATAAAATAAATGTTTTTTTTATACTACGAAAACCTCAGAAAGACGCAACTCAAACGCAAAAACTAAAAAATAATCGGTATGTTAAAATATTTAGATATGTATATTAAATATTAATAAGTTTTTACAATTCAAAATTCTTGTCTACCATCATAATAAATTACAGGTTGTCGGCGGATAGAATATAATATACAATATAGTTTAGTATTTTCATAAAAATGTGTTGATAAAAATATGTAATATAATGTGTGTCGTATTTTTTTTTTATTATTTTTTTTTCTCGCCACATCCTTATGTGTATCGGTCGTACAATTATATAAATCGATTTTTTATGTATACGTCTCTCTAATCTCTATAATATAATGATGCCGATTAAATGATATAGATATACATATAGGCAATATGAGCCCGCGAGTCATCCACTTAAATGACAAATATACGACTTGAAACGTTCGAATTGGAAACAAAATATATAATACCTATGTAGACAACTACAACAGACATCAGATAAGTCCGAAATGTCTCAAAATACTGGTTGATCGGCGACGACGATTGTAAACGTTGGCTGCAGTAGCGTCCGACAAACACACGTCGAGGGCACCCGACGATAAGACGAAATACAAAATATTATTATCGAATAACATTGCCGATGGCATGGCTGTAACCCGCACCTATACCGACCGGCGCGGTGCTTAGGGGTTATCTGTATGCGGTCACCGTACGGTGTTATTATACCGTATAGGCCTAAATACACTGAAAACCACTTAGGGACACATTGTTGGAAACACAAATAAAAGTACAAACACATATATATATATATATATACATTAAAGATTAAAGACGCGTTGAGAATAAGGTATAATATGATTATTTTTCGTGAAACCAACCAACCACCGCCACCACTGTAGTTGTATAGGTAGGAACGTATACACGATATTATTACTATCGTGTTATATATATATATATACGTATTCTATATATATAAGTACGCCCACCCTGAAAAAAAAATGGGCCGAAATTGTTTAATTTTTTTCTCTCGTTTCACAACGCCCGACATAATACATAATAATAATAGTAATAATATAGAACAACACACGCACAGACACAAGCACGGACACTGCAGATATATAGGCTCACACTGTAATAACAATAATAATAATACAGATAAACAGATACAGCGTGTACATTCACATGTGGTTAAATGTATGTAACGATATGGACGCACGACAATATAATGTTTACGAATATTATCGTTGTGAGAGAAAAACGTAAAACGAAAAACATATTATTATACTAGTATATAGGTACTGTTTGACAGCGACAGAGTTTTAAAAAAATAAGTGTATAATATATAGTATAAATAATATCCATGCAACAAACGTACAGTGGCCGCTCTACGTTGAACTGGAATACCCACTTTAGCCATTTGGGCTTGGACACCTTTTGCTTGCAGACCTTTGACCGCGGCGTCAGCGCACGAGCCCGACTCGAAGTCGACAAATCCGTAACCTATATGACACGCACAAACACACAAAATAATAGCGTTAGAGTAGAAGGGTCACGGAACTATAGGGACTTATATTGACGAAGGGACGACGTCTCTTGTAAAAAAAAAAAATAAACGAATAATTTCAATAATAATATAGGTATAACGACGTAAATCTTCTTCTTCTTTTTCTTCACCCTTCGCTCCCAACTATGTGTGGGGTCAGTCATGCTCGTCCTGTACACCTCATATAGGCCTCGTCCCCTTGCACGCCTCATCTTTACTCACACCAGCTATTTCGTGTCATTCTCTATTCTCTGTCTATCCACCTCTTCTCCGGATTCCCTCTTTCTTCCTCTCCTATCTTTCCTCTATAGGCACTCTCACTGTCTCTGAGTCACTTTTCCTCATAAAATGCAGGCCGAGCCATCTCAGACTATTTTCTATCAATTCGTCCACAATTGGAGCCACTCATATACACTACCCTTAATTATTAATTTGTTACTCTATCCTCTTAAGTTATTCCACATATCACTCTTAGTATTATCATATCTCCTACAAACGTCTTCTATTCTATATTATTGTCTACTACCCAACATTCCGATCCATACAACACGACTGGTCCTCATGCAATAGCCTTTTAAAAAATATACCATTTTTAATCTTGACATACAAAATACGATTCTGTTCACTGCATCAATCTCTAGATAATTCTATCTCATCCTTAAAAACTCGATTATTTATTGTACCACCGATCGTAATACCTATTCACGTCACACACTACATCATCCCCCATCTTCAACACATGAATTTCCGCATACATTTCTCGAATACTTTCTCCAAAATCATACACATTCGTTTTAATCCCCCTTATAGTCCCTCCCATTCGAGGCATCGACGAAAATAATAATATTATACAATACGTCGCTCGTACACTTGTTGGTGTTCTTGTCCAATATCGCTTTAGTTGAAACAATGTTGCCGTATCTATAATGGAGAAAAAAAACATTTTAGATAAAATTCTACTGTATCAACGTTATAGTTTAAGCACATCAAAGTTAGGCAGTATAATAATGTAATCTGTTATAAGTCATGCCGTGTTGTGTGTACAGCAGCAGAGCATATTAATCAAGACGCTCATCTGCAAGCACGAGGATACGGTGGGCGGATAAAACAGACCATGCTAAACAGACTGAGACTGACTACTATACGCTAAATCATGGATGTGTGTGTAATTGATTATATATTATATATAACTGCCGTTGAATGATGAAAATAATAATAATAATAATGAATAGAAAACGTTGATACAATATTGGTTTAAAAAAGTGTATATGGGTGAGTGTGTAGGGTAAGAGAATTCCAATATAAAGTTTAAAAACCGAGCGGCGAGGATTACATCCGCAAATGCAATCCTCATAAGACGACAAAAAGTTTGAATAAATCAAAGTCTTACAAATATACCCTTTATACGTAGAACTTAAAACTACCGCTGCTATAAATATAATATATTTATATATGAAAAATCAGGTTGAATATGCATATAACATATATATAAATATATATTTATATTCAAAAATAAATTGACGGTAACCACGGAATATCATAAAAAAAATATTTTGAAATGAACAAAATATGTCGTCTTTGTAACGGCAACGAAAATCAAAGTACCAACCGATTAAAAAAGTTTTTTATTCATCTCTTTTAAAGGCTTTGTTGTACGTGATTACTTTTGTGGTTAAAAGTATTTGCTCTAATATTATATAATATATATAAATATAGTATATTGACTGTAAGGTTCATTGATTTCTTAAATGAGATTTTTCTTTTATGAAGAAAGTACTTTTTTCAAGAAACTAGATACTAATATTATTTAATAATAACTAAATGTACACATCATGGTAATACGTGGTAGCATTATATTCTACCTTAGACTGATTATTTGAAATTACACATTAGGTAATAATATGTTGAAATAAACCATGTTTATAAAATGCAATTTTAATTTTTAAATGTGAATTAATTGAATTGGGTAATTAAATTCCACTGTATAAATATGTATAAACTTGTTGTTGTAAAACTCATTACAAAATCAATCAATTTGTGTTCTTGTGATTTAAATAAGAAAAATAGATATGATATTACATTTACGTGTACGCAAATGTTGAAATGTCCCATACGTAATAGAATTCTAAAAAATTCTTTTAAATTAATTAATATTACTTTGTAACTTGAGAGGATGCACTATTTATTATGTATAATAATTATTTATTTTCGACATTAATTATTATTGAGCTAAAGCCTAAAGAACAATATAGTATAAGCGGATTTCAAAGAAATTCAATACGTTGAAGGTTGAACAATATAATATTGTATGGGATTGCATAAAATACAAAAGATTTAAACACTCACATAATATTATATAAGATAATAATATATCGACTTGAGCTAAAAGATATAAGTCAGAAAATGTTTTAAACATTGTAAAATCGTTCTTAACTTACATAATGCACATGAACTTTAATAACAAAAACAAAATGTACCCAATATATACATATATAATATTATACCAATACACTGCTTTAGACTTTAGAGTATTACCTAGTAAATTGTATTAGTATTTGGTGAACGCTATTGTGTAACTTCAAGCTAAAAGTTTTAAAAATAATATTCAAAAAAAAAACCAAATTGTTTCTTGTTTAAATATCTTATTTCGTTTCAATTTAAACTGGAAATGTCTTGAAAATAAAAATAAATTGTGCATTTGTATTTCTGAGATGTTTAGTTTTCCGTATAAGAACAATTTGTGAGCATTATTGTATACATTTTTGCAAGTCTTAGCTATTAAAATTGAAAATTAAATAATTTTTTAACTACAAAATTATTTTCAAATTTTCATGATGTTGAGTTGATTATGATCTCAAGTACTCGTCTAACAGTGTAAGTTATATACTTTATACTTACAGCTAGCTCTAATAGCCGATTGATCGTTCGATGTCACTATTATAAGTAATAATCCACTCCCAACCCAACCCATAACCCACACTTGCTACAATTGCAGGTAACTATATACCATTTTGCAATTATATAAATCGTATTAATATTTATATTATATACCCAACATGTAACACTATAGTATAAACTCAATAACTTCAATACCTAATTATTACAATATTTATTTTAATATAATATTATATCAAAGGTACTCACTGCGAACACATGGTGATCAAATCCTTGTCCATTGTGTTTTGGTTCAATCCGCGTATGTAAAGGTTGGTCTTGGACAACTGCTGTGCCGGCGGGGCCGATTGACATTCCGACGACGGCGAACTGGTGGTCGGCTGGTTGGACGATTGCAACGATGCACCGCCGTTGGTGTTAGAGCTCGAGCTGCTGTTGGTGTTGGCTGGCGACGAGGCCGTAGGTATTCTGTTGTTGCTGTTGTTGGTGTACTGTAAAAAAGGGAAAAAAACAAACAAATTGGTTATTATCATAATATATTAATTAAGCTGCAGCACAACAGTTCCGTATTAGAAAACTTCCAGCAAGCTTACAAGTATATAACCATCGTAAGGTACTATATTGTAATAATGATTATTAGTGCATTTAATGGGATTTTTTTTTAATTCTAAAATTCCTTAAGTTCAATACACCGATGTATATTTCTCCGATCGACGCAGTAATATCACCAATATCATGTCCACGCCCTAATTATTGTTTTCGATTTTATTGTAAGCAAGGATTAGGTTTTTTCAGCCAAACTTTAAACTTAGCTGGAATTGTACAATGCAGCATTATGATGTATTATTATGTAGGTATGTTGATATTGAACTTGTATTGTACAAGTTGAATTGTTTATTTTATGTATTAAGTAAGTAGTTTTAATTTATGCAATGAATTATGAATAACAATGAGTTTTTTTCTCAATGAGAAATTTTAAGAATAGGTTACGAAAGTAGTAAAAATGGAAAACAAATATTCTTAATGTACCTATGTACAAGTTTAACAAAGGCTTTGAGAAGGTGAGAAATTGAACACGTAATTATTTGAAAATTGAAAAAATACGCCTAAAATATTTTTATAAATAGATTCACTCTTTTTTTTTACCTGTAAATTCTACATCTCTATATATTATGATATATATATATAATACTTCACGATCTGTATACATCGTATCGACTGCGCGGGTCCCGCGTATATAGTAGCTGGTAGTTATGTTTTATATTAGTACCAGACTATATTATGTTATTATTACGTGGCACTGAAAAGGCGTACGAAAATGTCTGAGGACTGAAATGAACAGTGTGGGTGGATGTGCTTACGGTTAGTAAAAAAAATCCGTTTTATTATCATGTTTTTTTTTGAAGCACTGCTGTGATGGTGGTAGCTTATGTCATATTATACGGGGTATAATATTATTATAATACATACCAGACACATATTCCTACAATATAAGTACCTACGTTTCGTTCCTCAACAAACTCGCATAATTCAACTGTGCACCGTTCTCCGTCCGTCTGTCCGAAGCCGCTTGTAAAATAAAACTAGCACACACACACACACACACATTGGAGTAGACGACGAACGGAAAACAAAATAGGCAAAGTTTTCTTTTGAAACTCAACGACCAGTTGTGTATTATATACAGTGTGCGTACAATAACGTACCTCCACATATATTATGCATAATATGCCAACTGTATATTATATATAGTCTAGTTCAAACGTTCAATGCAATAATATTGTGCAAGGTCGGCGAGAAACCACTAATACTGCATAATAATATGCTGTATTATTATTATTATTATTATCATACATAGCTGTGTATGCAGGTACCTACCTATATCTTATCGCTGGGCTCAACACAGGTTTTTACTATGCGTGGTTCGTTTTATTTGTTTTTTTTTCTCAATAATTAATATTTGTTTTTTCCTTATCGATGTTATGTATATATAGGTAGGTACCTACCTAATATTATAATATTACATCTCACGATATCGCGCCGTACCTATATATATATATACAGGATTTTTGTCGACTCACTCGGCTAGATTAGGTTTTTTTTTTACAGAGTCCGAGTGTATAGTGCACGTGCACACATTCATCAAACGATCACCGGACCACAAGAATGGCGACAATACAAAGAAAACCGGCAAAAGTCAAATATCTATCGTCCGTGTGCATAATAGTATTATATAAAAACCCTAATACGATGACAATATTATTATTGTTGCTTTGCGCTACTACCAATATCCTATTGTTTTATTGGGACCGCGCGATCGGATGAATGGACTAGAAAAATAATATAACTTAAGCAAGTTGTGTTCAACAATAATGATCGAGGGAATCCTGCTACAACTATATATGGTATACGGTTCGAAAACTAACAGTCGCTGGGAATAATTTTATTATATTACCACAGAGACCGCGGGTTGTCGGACCCGGTCGGCGATAAGAATGGAATCGGTCGAAATATTATATCGCGGCGACAATAATTATTATAATATATCATATATAATATTATGCACAACGCGTGTACAATATAAATTATATACATTAAAGTACCACGCACAAATGATAAATTTAGTATACCGGATGATTCACCAAGCACGTTCGCCTACGTTTATCGCTTTGGTGGGATTCGTATTGAAATTCAGATTTTTGGGGATTTTAAAACAAACATTTCCAAATACTCAGATTTTTCAAGCGGATAGTCTCTCGTGGCGATAACAACAAGTTCTCTTTTCAAATGCATGAATCGCCTAATGTTTTCCGTAAATCGTTAATCAGACGACTTTTTGGTGGAAAATGTAATTTATAAATCGGAATTCGAACGAGGAGCTTTCGACATAATAAAATATTATTACGGTCCTATGCGAGCACATGCACAGAAATTTCAAAACTCCGAACACGCATTTTAGCTGTAGGAAAAATATGAGCGAAACTGACGTGAATCACCCTGTACGCGTACACGTACACGCCCGCAAATAATGATAAGTACACAATTGGCGATAACGCGACACTGCAATAACACACATACAATGTAATTATACTATCGTACATATTTTATATATACGCCATGTAGTCGGTTATACGAGCAGTGCGTGATTTATTATTTACAAAAAATACAACGACGGGCCCAAAGTTCGTCCGTCGGGATGGAAGTCGTAAAACGTTCGGCAATAGTGCACGCCCGATTATATAAAATTATAATATAATATTATTATTATGGTACTGCGGAAACCGCACCGAAACGAAAGCACTGGCGCCGCCGCCACATGATATTATAATAATAATAATCATTATTATTATTATTATTGTCATTATATATAATTATATAGGTATTACAACCCACGACGACGACGAGGTAGTTACCTACATGTTAAATCATATTATTATACAGTGTGATTCTTTCATCACAAATTAACACAACATTTTCTCGTTATAAGTTAATGCGTTAATGACATGTTTAGATTTTGGAAGTCTGCAATAATAATAATAACTCAATACCAACAAATTATAAGCTCATTGCCATTTTGTATCGTTATGATTTAAAAGTTTTTTTTTTTTTTTTTAAGACAATGTTCATTTTTAATCTCGTACTCTGAAGTAAAATAAAATACTGAGAATTTCGATTTGAAAAAAAAAATCGAATATCAAACTAGTAGTAAGAAGCATTTAAATATAACGTAAACGGATCGAGAAGAGGCAAAATGTTAGTGCTCATCGAAACTCTTTATATACGTCTAACGACTTATTATTTTTTTTTACATCGAATTTCTGAGAAACATATATACTGTTTAGGAATATAAAATTGAAAATGTATGCTATAATTTATAAATGTAAAAAGCACCAATTATTTCCACCGTAATTCGTATAATATTAAAATGTTCTCAAATGTAATTTTTTTCCCCTCTCAATTATTGTAAAATATATAAACTACAGATTTGCTACAAGAAACCTCCATCAAGGTTGTCGATCAAAGCATTTTTTCTAATATAGAAAGTGCCTTCAGAAATAACAACAGTTCAAAAAAAAAAAAGTCATTTAAAATACATTTATTGCACTACTCAGAATTAAAAACTAAAATAAAAGGTAGTATAGGTAAGAAAAGTAATTTTTAAAAATAATAAAGAATCGACTTGTATTGTACGATTATAGCTTATAGAAGTGTATAAATATTATATTAATGCTGCCAGCGTATTGGAAAGCACACCTAGTTGACGCTGCACATTTCAAATGTTTCACATTAAAATCGACGTCGATGACTCATTTACGACCAATAAAAATGCAGATTGTAAAATCACGATTTCACAATATTATACAAAATTCGATTATTTAATAAACACATTGATATATTGACTTAAATAAAACCATAATATCGTCCGGGTAACGAGACGTGATTTTGTATTACACAGCTAAGTTCATTGATATACTATTGTAAGTTGCATTACTTTTAATTAATCATGGCTTAAAGATTATAGGCAACATAATATATTATACTGCATGGGTTGCAGCTTTGCAAGTGAATGCCTAAATGTGCCCTATGTATCCTAGTATTGTGAGCAAACAAATTGTTTAAAAGAAAGGAGAACTGCACATCACCACTACGCCCACGGTAGTATAACTAACACGAGTCCCATTGTTTTCCACCGAAAATAAAAACAATTTTGCATCCGCCAAATTTAATTTAAGGTTCCACTCTCGGTTTGATTAGTCAGCGGTTTTTAAATGTGAATTAGTCAAATAATTTAAAATCCATCGGCATACGACATACATATAGTAGGTAGGCACCTAATATTGTTGTAACAAGTTTTGAACGTCCGGCATAAAATATCGATTTTGGCGGAAACTACAAAATCGAAAGTTTATTGAAATCTGGCGGGAACGTATAGCATCCGCCCTCAAACCGCCCACCCACCAACCACCCGTTCACCCACATAGAGCGAGTTCAATTACACGTCATCATCATAACAGTATAATATAATATGGCGTTATAATTATAGCCGCCAAGAGTGATGTACGCGCCGTGCTTAAGACACCATTATATACATATTAGATGCGGCCGAGCGTAATTATATTATTATTATAAGCAGACAGGGCTCGTTGGACCAAATCGGAGTGTGGATTATCGTCGTGAACCTGGTCGTCTTCTTGCAATGTTTATGCCAACGCAATTGGTTATAATGCTGTGTTTAATAATGATATCATGTACACAAAACATAATATAGTAGGTAAGTCAATGCAATGCGCTCGCGTGCTGCATTGTGCGAGTGCGTATAAATTAGGTCAGACTGGGGTGGCTAGGCAGGTTGGCGATATTATTTTCAACCGATAGTCAAGTCGATGGAAACGAATTAGAAAACATTTAGAGTAGGTAGTTATATTATAAGCTATATTAATATATGTTTTTTTGGCTCGGTCAAGTTAAGAGTTGTATATGGAAACTAACAAGTGACAATTGCAGACTTACCTACTGAGTTGAGTTAGGTGCATTTTTTTTAAATAAATATAATATAGCCAATAAATAGTATAAATGCCCAAGTAATAAGTATCAAAAATAAGTTATTTTTATTGAAAAATTCTGGTTAACAGCAAAGTTTGAATTAAAAACTGATGAATTCAATTTTGAAATTTTTTGATAGGTATTTTCAATAAATCAGTCATACATTTTTACAGACATTTTATGAGTTATTTACGTCTTATAAATATTTTACACATACTATACATAAGTATTTCATACTAAATTAATAATATCAATAATTTTAAATATTTAAAATTTTAATGCATTTAGGAACCTATATGGTTTATAAGTATACATTTTATACTCAATATTTGATGTGCATTCTTAAAGTTTATAATAGATTACGTTCACATGCCCCAAATTCATTAATAATTATTTTATCATATTTATTATTTAATTATATAAACTAACGCATATAACATAGTTTGTAATGACGTAACACGTTGTTTATTAATTTCATATAAATACAAATAAATTAAGTTAAGAAGTTAAAATTATAACTTAACTTGAATTAAAAGTTTTAAACTTAAACTTTTTACTCATTTATGCCCTGCAGGATTGAAATCAAGTACCTACGACGCGTCGAAAACAATAACGCGTGAAATCGTCTAACGTGATATCGGTACGTTAACCCAACAGCGGTATAAA